ACGCCATAATCCCACTGTCTCTCTCCCGCTTTCTGTTTTATTTGTATTTTTTTAAATGGTGGGTGTTTACGCAGTTGGCTAGAGCAGTGCTGATTGGGGAGAACGGAGGTGCGCTCACTCTATTGGTTGTTTGCAATCACGTGATTCTGATGACGCGCGAAATGCAGCGGGAGGGCAGGAAGTGATTTTTCTCTACCAAATTTTATTTTTTCTAAATTAGGTAGTCTACATTTTTTGCTCTTATGTATTCATAATCCTGACAAAATTCCTTCCAAATTATCTCACTTTCACAAACAATGTCTCTTATCGTGGTCTTTAATTTACAAGCATAATTTTCCCCACACAGTTATATAATTTGGCACAACAGAGATCTACTGTACAAGAATAAATCAATTTATTTTGATAATTGGGCTAAAAATTATATTATTTTGGTGAGTCAGTTATTCAATGACCAAGGGACCAAGTTTTTGTCACATTATAAAATCCCAATTACAGCAAACGAATATGCTATTGTTTTTGGAGCTATCCCTTCGGGGATTATTATGTTTATGAAGGGTTTTAATAACAAGGTCTCTCAGATTGTGCCATATCTCAATGTATTTGATACATATGTTGGTAAATTATCCCTTAACACCAAATCAAATAATAGGAGCAATCGTGCTCTTTTCCAGAATGAGGTTGTCTCTTGTCTGAATGCCATCTTTTATTGGAGCAGACATGTAGGTGAAATTAACTGGGCTAGAGTGTGGGTTTTGCCTCAAAAATGATTTTTGTACAATAAGATAAAAGAAGTGTCTTATAAAATGATACATCGGTGCTATCCCACAAAATGTTTTTTTTTTACAAAGGTTTATTTCTGAGGATTCTGATGTAAATTGCTCCTTCTGTGGTCTCCAAACTGAAGATTTGTCTCATTTATTTTGGTACTGTGAGTATACTAAAAATCTGTGGAAAAACATTTTGAGTATTTTTTTGTGATATAATTCCTGAAATTTCATTGAAATATGAAAATGTTATTCTGGGTTATACACATTTTGAAAGAGAACAATCAGATGTTTTTTATTTACTCAATCTTATTTTGTTTCTCGCCAAATATTTTGTACACAAATGTAAATATTGTAAGTGTAAGCCTCTCTTTAACCTTTTTCTGGAAGAGTTAAAACTGTATATGTATTTGATTTCTGACTCTTCCAATAAGAAAGCTGTAAAAAAAACTGTGAATCTTGCTCCCTGGCATGTAGTATATTAATGTCATTCTGTGTTTCATATATTATAATAAAAAATAAAAATAAAAAATAAAAAGTCATTTTTCTCTCCATAGAAATCACTAGCAGAAACTTAAAATACCCGTGTTTTGTGTTGTTTATGGATGCTCCAATCGGCCAACCCGAGAAACCATAAGGAGCTTTTATCGTGTACAAAAATGTGTTGCTCATAAGTGGAGAAAATTCAAGAAATTAACTGAAAAACGCTGGAAAAAGTGGCTTGTAAACCTGCGTCTGCGGTCGGGAGGAGCGAATCCGGATAATGCTCGTGTGTGCAAATGGTTAATATATGATCATAATATATTAAAATATTAAAGGGGTCCTATTATGCTCTTTTACAAAGTCTTGATTTTGTTTTGGGGGTGTACTAGAACATGCTCTCATGCTTGGTGGTTCGAAAAACGCATAATTTTTCACATAATTTACATTATTACAATACCTCTCTCCCCAGCCTGGCACAAACGGCCCAGCTACGTCGTGTTGTACTTGTAAGAATTGTTCTAGACCAGCGGTTCTCAATTCCAGTCCTCGCATACCCCCGCTCTGCATGTTTTGCACGTCTCTCTTTGTTAACACGCCTGATTCAGATCATCATCTCGTTAGAAGTGAGCTCTGTGCATGAACTGTGTTCCGATTGGCATGGTCCCTACACAGTGTGCATTGCTCCCTACTCCTGGAGCAGGGGATATCCGTTGAAGTTTACTTCACTTCGGAATATTCATTTACAGATTTGCGCTGCGCCGCTGCCTGCAGCGTCATCACACAAACAAACTTACTAGAGAAGCGTGAAGTGGGACATAATATACCTCTGTAAATAAATACAATTTAAATTCACGTCTCGCACACTTAAATGCCCTTTGTATGGAACATATACGCTCCCTTCAAACTGGAATCATGGAGGAATATCCGGTAATGTCCACTTCGCAGGGCACTTACAGTCAAATATAACAAACGTATGAAGCAATAAGAGAAACATACAAAATGTGCAGAGCGGGGTTACGCGAGGACTGGAATTGAGAACCGCTGTTCTAGACATGCCAAAAATTTGAGGCTACAGCACAGCAGCTGCTCTTCTTCTTGGTTTTGTCTGATGCACTAACTCTGCAGCAGCACTTCTTCTTCGTCGTCTCGTCTCATGCGCTCACTCAACCTACCGTTCTAACCACAACCTCGCCCCTCCCCACCCCCCAACCATTCGAATTTCTGTAGGCGGGAATTATTTGTAATGATATTCCAATGAGCCGCTTTGTGATATCACAAAGCCCGGAAACCAAACGCTGTAGTCCAAACGAGCCGTTCGTTGTAGTTCTTGAAAATGGAGTGGACTTTGAGATTTGTAACTTTCTAGATCTTTTTTATGCTCAAACATACACATCACACACTGACTAAAATTAAAAAAAAGTGAAAAAGCATAATAGGACCCCTTTAATAAAGAAATATATAAATAGATACAGGGTGACTGTCAGAATTCACTGAATGCTAAACGCCACACATAGACACAATGTAAATAAGATATTGTTTGCAGTTCACGGAATCGTGAGATTGCGATAAATTGAAGTGAGTGACAGCTTTTTAGTGATTAACGTTAGATGAAAGCGCTATTTGCTTGCTTTCTAGGCAGACTATAATCGATTCAGAATTTAAATAAAAGTTGTTTTAGGTGCTGCTAACAGGACTGTTTTATGTGGAAAATAATGTGTTTTTTTAACCTTAAACCGCATAAACACATTTCATTACACCAAATACACAAAAGAATGTTCCTTTTAGCAACATCATATAACCTCTTAAACCCTTGGTCATTCTAAACCGCAGGTAACAGGGTTCAGGTTTATCCAGGATTCCAGGTGATCCAGGGTAGGCTACCTTGTTTCACGTTTCACACTGCTCATACTTCACCCAGGATTAACAATTCATCCTGGTTATTCATACACTGTCGTTTCACACTCTACTCCCTAAACCCTGGGATGACTTTCTTATTTGCATAGTTTTGTTTTTGATGTAATGTTTGATTTTTTTTTTTACAGTCTATGGTTTCCAGCCAATCAGACCATGGTATAATGCTGTGTTCAAGTCCTCCTGGGACGTTCGTACTTACGACTTGACAAATCGTAATTACGACGTCAGATGCGTTCAAGTCAGTTTAGTCGGCACAAGATGGCGGTGTACCTAATTTTAATAAACTACAAGAAAATACAACAGGCTGCTGTTAGAAAATGAAGAGCAAAGAATTCGCATCCGGTGTGTTTTGCGTTTTTTTTTAAATATTTTTTAAAAGTAATTTATGAAGCCACTTTAATCTGTATCGCATAAAAACCTATATTTGCATAGTTTTGTTTTTGATGTAATGTTTGATTTTTTTTTTTACAGTCTATGGTTTCCAGCCAATCAGACCATGGTATAATGCTGTGTTCAAGTCCTCCTGGGACGTTCGTACTTACGACTTGACAAATCGTAATTACGACGTCAGATGCGTTCAAGTCAGTTTAGTCGGCACAAGATGGCGGTGTACCTAATTTTAATAAACTACAAGAAAATACAACAGGCTGCTGTTAGAAAATGAAGAGCAAAGAATTCGCATCCGGTGTGTTTTGCGTTTTTTTTTAAATATTTTTTAAAAGTAATTTATGAAGCCACTTTAATCTGTATCGCATAAAAACCTATTATTAATTGTTATATTACAATCCTGCCACATTCAAAAAGCTTATTGTTTGTAAATAAAAAGCCTGACAATGTCACTGCTTAACCTATACGTATTGTGATTTATGCTTTACTTTGGCAATCTCTCGGTCTCCCTCTATCAGACATGCAGTTCTACATGACCAATTTACGTTTATAGGACAACTAAACTATCAATTGTCAACTACAGACGTTGCATCCATCGATTCCGCCATGTTTCTCGTTGACACGCCCCCAACTCGGAAACTCGGGGCTTAAAGAAAATTTCGAGTTTAATCGTGATAACACTTTTTGGTGGCGTTCATATGCGTTCAACTCGTAAATACGATCTATCCAACATGACTTGAACGCACCATATGTTTATATATGCTTTGCTGACATATTGCCATTCAATTTATCAAATGAACCCACTTTCAGGGGGCTTTTACACTGTACACGTTTGCTGCGGTCCGAGTGGTATTGTTTCCGCAGTTCAACTCACTCTTGCTCATAAAGTAAATCATCACACCTGTCAACCCTTACACGTGTTTTGTTGAACTAATGACATCGTGATCGGCTAAAACGCATGCGCATGTTACTTTACTTCCTGGTGAAGTGGGTTAAGGCTAGAAAGGATACAGCTGCGGCTACTGGGCATGCGCACATCAATATAGCGTAATTTTTGTAACACTGTACAACAATGACTATTTCTGCATTATTGTAAGGGGTAGGTTTAGTTTTGGGGTAGGTGTAGACGTTAATAAAATACAATCTAATAGGTAGAAAATTCAAATTAATGTTAGGTTCCGGTTTTTGCTGTATCCCTTCTAGCCACAACCTATGAAGTACGCACCCGAGTCCAAGTTGCTTTAGATGCAAATTCAAAAGTAAAATGCCTGTGCGCAAAACTTGTGTAATAACTTATAGGATTTAAAAAATGAAAACCCACTCACAATTACAATAATTTAAGTGTGTAAAGATCAACACTATTCAGTGTAACAGGTGCTTTGTGTCTGGGTTTGTTTCCATTGTGCATACTATTCCTAAAACACATAATTCAACATTAATACAAAAACCCACCTCATTTTGTGGCCATCTTCAGTAAACATCAAATCATGAAAATATCAGTGGAGCAGGACGTTTTGTGTTATCAGGTGAGGTGAGATTACACCTGTACACATTAGATGAAGGAAGGGTTGAGGAATTTAGACTACATCGCTAGGGTGTACTTGAGAACAATGGGGCTCAGCAACCTTTTTAACAAGTGTCCCCCAAACCCTCAAAATATGTAGGGTAATGTCAACTAAAATGTGCCATAAGCTAAAGTGGGCGGGAAAAAAATTAGAGCAAGTTTTCTCAGGTAATATACTGTCAACATCAGCCTGTAATTCCCCTTCACACAATTCTAAATGGTTCGATCCATTGCCACAACACATGATCTGGGCAAGTTCAAGCTCAAACCGGTGTGTATCGTTTTGCTACGGTTTCCGGGTTGAACGACATGTTTCCTGGAAACGGTGTGCTTATGGTTTGAGGTACGGTTTCTCTTGTTTGGTGGGTGTGTCAAACATGTCAGCCCAATCAGCAGCAACATGTATATAAAGAGACAGCTGGCACAATGTAATTAACATCCAAATTAATTCACAAGAGCAAGTATATTGTTTGCACATGTTTATTTACATTAAAGGCAAAATAACTGAAATAATAAGAGCACATGTATAGATCTGGAACTTCTTTAAGTCTGTCTAAATATCATTTAGTAATTGCAATGTCTTCTGGTCCATATCCTTTCCTTAGGAAGGTGTGCTAGACACTGATTAATGTAACATAAAAATACTATACATATTTATATATTTTGCTATTGTATTATGGAGTTTCATAAACGTTTCTATACCCCTCTGATTATACAGTATAATGGTAAATATTACAATATCATAGCACAACAACAGTGATCAGCAATAATGATAAGCCTAATACTCACAATAAAAATAATAAGGTCATATAGATCATAACACAGTCTCGGAGGTAAGAAGTGGATTATCCTTCACCTGAAATGTTTGTCTTTTCATCCTGAAATGCGAGCCAAATGTTGGATCACAATAATTAGGAACCACAGTTTCCACAAATTCCCTTTCATTTGATTGGGATGTTCTCTTTTATTCTGGAGGGCAAGGGCAGTGACTGTAACATCGAGCGTATTTTGCAATATTAAACACGTATTTATACTGATTTCATCAGGCTCCGAAAATTCTTCAAAAATAACACAAAAATGGCCTTCTCAGCTGCCATAGTTGCAACTCTTGCGTCATCAGAACAGTGTGTTCAATGCATCACCGTTTCCGTTTAAAAAACGTTTTGCACCGTTTTTGTCGGGACTGAACGCAGCCCTGATAAAGGTCAACTGCATCTTTTGGCTTGCTACCTTACCAGGCAATAACTTTGCAGATAGCATTTGCGCTCGAAGGTTCCACCCAACATGCTTCTAAAGCAGCACAACATTCTAATGAGCTACAAAATTTTTATATATATATATAAAATAATAATAATAAAAATAGAGAGAAGTTTGGCGATGACAATGTGAGTCTTTAATTACTACTGGCTAGAATATATATATTTTTTAAAGTAGAAAAAGTAGTTTTTTTTTTTTAAGTACACGCTCTGACCACAAGTGTGCAAGAGACACAAAATAATTATAGTCAAATTGAAATGTAGCGTATTGAAATGGAGTTAGGAAATTGCACTATTTGGATGGGTGTGAAACGCAGTAGGCAGTGGTTAGGACTGAATGAGACGACTCTTAATTGAAGAGGCACCAAGCAATGTCTAGGTTCCTTTTAGTTTACTGAAGAACTTTTGAGTATACATGTGTGGTTCTGCAAGAACTGAACAAGAGAAATACATTTACTGATATATACACATACAGGTGTTACACAAATATAAACATCCATTTTAAATAATTAAACCGTAATCAAATGAACATAAGTAATGACATTAATGAAGTATTCTGAACAGGTCTGGGTGTTCTTTGAATGTTCACAAGAGGGTGCTATTATTAGCATGTAAATGTTGCTCAATATGCATTGAACATAAGCATGTGACAAATGGCTGATCATCGCATGATAATAACCATCTCCAAATATCGCTTACATAGAGCAATAACATGATGTGCAACATATATGTATTGAAGTAGAACATAGGAATACTAAGATATATACTAAATAGAAAGATTAATACAGTCAGGATGTTGCTAATCAACAACTCTAATGGCCTGGGAAACGAACGGACAATTTCTCATTTACAACAGAAAATATATAGTCAATACTCACTTCTTTCACATGCACGCACACAGTAACTCAATATCAACTAGAACTTAATGGCAATCCAACGTGGATGGATAAGTATTAGACCAAAGCTGGCGGACTTTCCACGTGTGAGTGACGCATGAGTGACGCAGCTTCTCTTCACTTCTTCTTCGTAAGCACGGGATGATGTGGTAGCATCGAGCACTCTGATTGGTTGGGATTATCCGGGACATTCAAGAATATCTGGGCCTTTTGTACAGCCGCCCCCAAATTCAGGGACTGAATTTGCTAATCTAGCAAAAGGTCGGCATCCTAACATCAATCATCCTCAGGTAGGGCTGGGAGCAGAATGAGTCGAGCCACAACTCTTGTGTAAGTCCTACCTTTAACCTCGACGTTGGCTGCCCGTACTCTTCCATCTGCGCCTGGGAAAACCTGGGAGATCTTCCCCACTGGCCAGAGGGCACGAGAAAGTTGGGGATTGACAATCATGACCACATCACCAATCTCTAGTGTCCGCTTGTCGGTTTTCCATTTCTGGCGGGCTTGGAGGCTGGGTAGGTAATATTTCAGGAAGTGCCTCCAGAAATGATCTGCAAGCAGTTGACTGTGGCGCTAGTGTCTGCGACTCAGGATCTCAGAATCTTGGTAGACTACCTGAGGTAAGGATGCATCTCGACATCCAATCAGAGTGGCGTCGAGTTGAGAACCGCTTCAACTTCAACCAAGACTGTTCTCAGTACTTCCTCTGTGACTGTCTGGGCCCCGATGGTCACTTTGAGGGCTGCTTTGATCGAGTGGATTTCCCTCTCTCAGCAACCGCCGAAGTGAGGTGCACCTGGTGGGTTGTAGGCAAATTTGATTTGTTGGCCGGCGAGATGACGGTGTAGCTCATTCTGCATGGCAGCAAAGGACTCACTCAGTTCACATTCTACCCCTTTAAAGTTAGTGCCCTGGTCACAGAGCAACTCGTATGGTTTCCCTCGGCGTGCGATGAAATGTCTCAGGGACATTAAGAACGAGTCCAAGTCAATACTATGAAGAATGTCAAGATAGACTGCCCTGATGGGCATGCACTTGAACACTACACCCCATCTTTTCTCGTTGCGGCAGCCAATCTTGATAACAAAGGGGCCAAAATAGTCCATGTCTGTTGAATAGAAGGCTGGTTTGAAGTACCTCTGTCTGGTGAGAGGCAGGTCGGCCATGAGGGGAACTTCTGGAAGACCTCTCTATTTTCTGCACTCCACACACTGCCGTTGGTGTTGGCGGATGGCTTCACAGCCTCTTAATATCCAGTATGTCCTTCTTATTTCGGCAAACAAACGCTCCGAGCCAGGGTGGTGCAGTCTCTCATCATAATCCCTGGTGATTAGCCTGGTTACCGGATTCTGAGGTTCAAGGACAATTGGATGTAAAGCATCTGCTTCAACCACCTCAAAGTGACGCAAACGACCTCCTACTCTAATCAGTCCCATAGCAGAGTCAATCTGTTTCTGCCTGACACTGGTTTTCCTGACCTCATAAGACTCAACTCAGCAGGAAAGGACTCAGCTTGGGCTTGACAGAGGATCTTAAGTTGAACTTCTCTCTGGGTGTCAGCGCATGAGGTGTAGGCCGCCCCATGAAGCTCCTGATCACAGGCATCTAAGTAGGCTGACAGAGTGTCGTATTGCTCTGGCTTTGGCAAGGGTGTGGTAACAGTCACTGACCCACAGAATGCAGACCGTCTTAACTCACGGCTTTGCTCTTCAAAAGATAAGGGAGGTTGTTCAGGCCAGCTATCTGGTGGCAGCTTGAGGAATGGTGGACCCTGACTCCACCAGCTCCCTCTCGAGAGGTCTCGGAGAAACTTGCCTCGAGTTATATCGTCCGCTGGTTGTCTCCAGATTTGACATAGCGCCAGGAAGCAGATGCTGTCTGCTCTTGAATCTCTGCTACACGTGTCCCTACAAATACTTTGTAGCGGCATGAGCTGGATTTCAACCATGTAAGCACTGCGGTGGAGTCTGAACTTTTTTTATTGTAAGTTCCGTAACTAGGAGTTTGAAAAGTTGAGAACCACTGAGAGCTGCACATAGCTCCAGACGGGGTATGGACTGCTGCTAACGAGGGGCAACTCTAGACCTGGCAGCCATAAAGGCAACTTCAACTTGACCCTCTTTACTATCTGTCCGCAGGTAATCCACTGAGCCATATGCCTGTTCTGATGAGTCACAGAAGATGTGAATCTCATGTCTACAGGACGGGTGATCCATCTTCGAGCTGAAGTAACATCTGGGCAGAGATATATCATCTAGTATACTCAACTCTTTCTCCCATTCACACCACAGAGTAAGGAGGTCCTCGGGTAACTGTGGGTCATCCCAGTCACGTCTCTTGTTCCATAGACGCTGCACCAATATCTTGGCTCTGGTAATATAAGGGATGATATAACCAAGAGGGTCATATTGGCTTGCCAGTACGCAGTAGATGTTGCGCATTGTCACGGTGGAGCAGTGTTTACTTCTATGTTTGTAGCGGAGAGCGTCAGACTGGCAGTGCCAGTGGAGACCAAGTGTAGGCTCACAGACATCTTGCTGACCTTGAAGGAGCCAGAGATCACAGGCATCTGACCTAGATTCAGGGGGGAGGTGATTAATTGCGGATGGGCAATTGCTGGCTAACTGCTGCAGTTCAAAGCCGCCAGAAGCTAAAAGTGAACAGAGCTGACCAACCAAGTCTTTGGCTTCTTCTTCGGAGGTAACACTATGCAGACAATTGTCAACATAAAATTACCTTTCAATGACTTCTCTGACTTTGTCTCCACTCTCCAGGCAGGCTGTAATCCACGTTGTGCCAAAGGGAAGCAACCTGCCATTGATACACATCTGGAAGTTGCTCTGGCTTCAAATCCCTCCACAGGAATCAAAGTAAGGGCATGTCATCAGGGAGCAGCCTCACCTGGTGAAACATACCTTTAATGTCACTGCTTACAGCTATGGAGTGCTCACGGAACTGGAGTAACACGGCCAGCAGTGATGGGCTTAACATGGGTCCTGGAAGAAGGAACTGGTTTAGGTTGTGACCCTCGTACTCGAAGGAACGGTTATAGACAACTCGGTTTTTGCTATTATGCTGCACCATGTGGTTGGGAATGTACCACGACTCTTTGGAGTTCTCAACCTCACCTGGCTCCAGCTTTACTGCATAGCCAGCCTCCTTCAGCTTAGCGATCTCAGCCTGGTAGGTTGAAGCCTGATCTGAGTTCTTTAGCAGCTTCCTTTCCACACTTCTAAGTTGAGGGAGAACGGCTTCTTTGGGCGTGGTTAAGTGTAGCATGTTCTTTATCCGAAGGAGTGGCGTGGCATAAAGCATAATGCCGTCAACTTCTACTCTTGTTGTTTTCTCCTGTAGCAGTTGGATGGCTTCCTGATCCAGCTTGGATCGTGTTACAACCTTTTCACTGTGGTAGGGAACCACATCCATCTGCCACAGTCTCTCAACATGAGTGAACAGGTCAGAGTTTGGGGGAACAGATGTGAAAAGGCAATGGTGAACATTTAGTCCATGTTTAATCTCATGCGTGGGGCCTTGAAGAGTCCATCCTAAGCGGGTCTTAACTGCTGCAGGTCCGCCTAGTGGGCTTAGCAGGACGGGTTCAATAGGTGTGATGAGATGTGGGCAGTCTGAACCAATCAACATCACAGGTTGTACTCTATCCATTTGTTGCAGTGGAAGACCTGCTAGGTGTCAATATTTTTATACAAAAGAAAACACAACTTATACAAATTAATATTTATATGATTGTAAAACATCTGTGCAAAACACACTATATGGACAAAAGTATTGGGACTCCTGACCGTTACAACCAACAGGGACTTTAATGACAGCTTTCAAATACATAGTGAGTTGGTCACCCCTTTGCACATGTAATAGCTTCTACTCTTTGCACAAGAATTTGGAGTGTTTCTGTAGGAATGTTAACCCATTCATCTAGTACAGCATTTGTGAGGTCAGGCAATGATGTTGGATGAGAAAGCCTGGCTCACAATCTCCATTCCAGTTCATCCCAAAGTCTTTGATGGGGTTGAGGTCAGGGATCTGTGCGGGTCAAGTTCTTCCACACCAAACTCACCGAACCATGTCTTTATGGACTTTGCTTTGTGCACTGAGGCACAGTCATGACGGAATTGTTAGTATTAAGATTTCCCTTCACCTAGCCCAGGGGTAGGCAAGTTCGGTCCTAGAGAGCCACAGTCCTGCAGAGTGCAGCTCCAACCCTGAAAAAAAAACTCACCTGCCTATAGCCTTAGTAATCCTGAAGACATTGATTAGCTTGTTCAGGTGTGTTTGATTAGGGTTGGAGCTGAACTCTGCAGGACTGCGGCTCTCTAGGACCGAACTTGCCTACCCCTGACGTAGCCCAACCCCTAAAAAACAGCCATATACCATTATTCCAAACTTCACAGTTGGCACAATGCTGTCAGACAGTTAATGTTTTCCTGATATCAGCCAGACCCAGACTTGCCTGAAGTGCGATTCATCACTCCACAGAACACGTTTCCACCGCTCCAGAATTCAGTGACTTTCCAGTGCTCCTGACTCCTTTTACACACCAGTCTCTGGCCTTACATGGTCTTTGTTGCTGTTGTTCCTAAACGCTTCCACTTTGTAAAACTATCACTTGAAGATGATCTTGGAATATCTATCAGAAATTAAATTTCATGAACTGACGATGCAAATGTGGCATCTTATCACAGCACCACGCTTGAATTTACTGAGCTCTTCAGAATGCCCTATTTTTTTCCACAATTGTTCATAAATGCAAGGTGCACAGCTAGGTGCTTGATTATTATATACCTGTGGCAATAGGTCTGATTGAAACACCTCAATTCAATACTTTTATCCCTAGGTCTTCAACCCTGCTCCTGGGGACTCATGGCCTTCAAAATCTATTCCCAACCTGCTTCAGCTCACCTGCCCTGTGATTTTTCAAGTGGCCCTGAAGACCTTGATAGGTTCAGGCGAGTTTTATTAGGGTTGTTGATTACAGTCCATTAATATTGATGCGCAAAGAAACCATGTACGCTCTCTGTGCACTGATTGCTAACATTGTGTTTTTGCACAAGAGCAACCTTTCAATTTATTTTTCCTCAGTTTTTGCTGTTGCACTGTATACATTGTGAACTATGAAAAAAATTAAGTTTTTCTGAGAATCATCCTCAAACTTAATCCTGAACTTCATATTTCACCCAACAAATAAAACTGCCATTATTTACTCACCTCATGTTGAGTACCAAACCCATTAAGACTCATTTTAGAAACACAAATTATACATATATTTTAATTAAACATGAGAGATTTCCATCTTCAAAGTCCAATCCACCAAAACTTTCACACTTTAAAAAGTTCATAAAGACATCAAAAGTAATCCATATAAATCAAGCAGTTTATTCAAATATCCTTAAGACACAAGATCACTTTATATGATGAAAAGATTTCATTTAGACTTATTTGCATATTAACATTTATCAATGTGCATCAAATAAATGTAAGGTCAAATGCGCTTGACATATGAGAACCATAAAGTTTGTTCTCACGAGTCAAGCAAGTATTGGTGGTGGAATGTACTTTCAATGACAGAACAGATATCTCAGTTTTCACTAATAAATGTGGTTCTAAAATAAGCCAAAGACTTATGGGTTTGGAACAACACGAGTGTGATTATGGATGTATATTAGCAATAATGTTGCTTAAACGGCTTGCTTACATTTGGTATTTTTCACTGTTAATTGTCCCTATTAAAGTAAATTATGCCAAATTTCAGTTTTGCGTGAACTATCCATTTAACTGTTGGGGTACTTTTTATTCTGGCACATTTTGCACATAAAATGATAAAGACCTGAATTAATAAAAAGAAGCTTGTGGATGATTGGTCCATATTAATCGAAAATAAAAATCTTAAAGGTCATTGTCATACTGCTTCATTGACAAGTCAAATATGAGTACAGTAAACAACTGCAAATATTGCACATGTACTGCTAGTAGCTTATTGTCTTGATTAACATTACAACCATTTTTTTAAACTTTATTCCACATTTGAAGACATACTAAGTGTTGATTTAGCTTTCTGATAATCCTAATTTAAACAAGAACACATAACACAGGATGTTTCTTCTGATTATATTCTCAAATACAAAATATTGTGTTTTGATTTGACACAAAACCATATGCAGATACTGCTTTACAGACAAGACACAAGGTAATAACATATCCACACAAGGAACTAGTTTGGATCATTACTAATCTGCAATATGGGAATAGATGTGCATCAGACCAATCAGAGTATTTTAAAAATGCTATATAAAAAGCAAAATGCTAACCTTCACAGGCTTGAGACATCAGAAAATTGTTATTCAAGATTTAGGTTATTAAAATTTCCAATATGATGTACCTGGACAAAAGTGTTACATGGTCTTACATCGATGTGTACATACAGGCATATGATCATATACAGAACAATACCCATAACCATCTACCGCAAAATGTGGTTCTTTAATCTTACTAGATCAAAAAAAATAAAAATCAGTGGTAAAACTAATGGAACACAGAAACACCTTGCCTCTCTCTCGCTCTATACATCAGATGTAAATCGAAGCGTGCAAAGCTTTCTCAATAAATTCTCCTTTTTCTCCACATCATAGTGTGTGAGCTGTTTGCAGCAGACTAAACCACACATTATTAAATTCAAATGTCGAACCTCTCATCTACAAGTACACAGAGGAAAAAAAGATCAAGCTGTATGTAAACAAAAATTTAGTAGAAGAGCAAAAAAGGGATACTTGTCACCAAAACTCAAACAGAGCAATGGAGGGCCACACAAATGTGGTTACCTTTAAGAGTGGTATAAATAGGGAGCGAATAAACGTTTACAGAGAGCAGGCAAAAAAGGGTAAGACTGGGTAACACAAAAAAGGCATGAGGAATGCTGTTTAGGGAATGGGCTGTCTGAAACACCTGCGATGCTACTACTGTGTTCCCTGGGTGCCCTGGCTGCCCTGCTGGTTGTAGTTGCCGTAATTGCCGTATTGGTTATAGTACTGGTTCCACTGGCTCTGGTTCTGGTAGTACTGTTGCCACTGCTGAGCATACTGGGGGAAGTAACGTACAATGTATAAAAATACATGCAATACATGCACATGCATTCAAGATAAGGGGACAAAAATGCCACTGTAAAATTACTAAACTAAATCTATCACAGCTGTCATGATTAAACATAACTGTGGCATTATATCTAAATCTGCTTACATTGCATCAGATTTCGTTTTAGGTGTTTTTTGCAGCATTGAGCGTTATTCTGTAGTTTATAAATGCAGTGGCCAATCAGAGGTGTTTAGATGTTCTTTGCTTGTATATAATGTATTCCCAATTTGAATAACCATTTACTAAAATACAAACATAAAGTCTTAATTTTCTAATGCATAAACTAATTCATAAAGGTTCTTAGCTTGTTTTGTCATTGTAGCCAGATTATCACATGCCATCAACAATAATTTTTAATCTTTATTAGCAAAAGCAATAATCTGCAATATGATGACTTTTGTCATAAAATTGCAGCCCTACCCTCTGAGTTCCGGTTTTAAATGTTTATATGTATGCCAGCATTAAACAATCTGTGTAAATAAACATAAATGCAATGCAAGATGCAGCTTCTGTTCTAACTGCAGTATAAAGACAGCTTTTGTTTGATGTATTCTAAATGATTGAAGTAATGGGTTAAATTGAAATATTTGACATAAAAGATAAAACAAATAATTTAATCAAGTTAAGCTAATATTACCCCTTAATGGAGAAGTTGATTTCAGACCCTGGTGACTGTATTCAGTTTCCTCACCTGCTGGTACTGTTGATTATAGCTCTGCTGCTGCTCGTTGTAGGTCTGTCCTGTGGGAGCGGGAGTTTGACTGTAGCTCTGGCTGTATCCTGGGTATTGACTGTAGTTGCCATAGTTGTACCCTTGGTTGTAGTTGCTCTGGTTGTAGCCTTGGTTGTAGCCTTGATTGTAAGCCTGAGGCTAGAAAAAAATAAAATAAATAAAATGTAAGCAATGATTTCAAGTCCTGTTGGTTTCACAAGCTGATTGTTGGATAATGTAAGCCCAGTCTTAATACCTGTGCTTGGCTGTAGCTTCCAGTTGATCCAGAGCTACTCTTGTTGTAGGAGCCCTGGCGGTTGTGGTTGTAACTGCCTCCAGATTGCTGGGTGCGGTTGTATCCACCACGGCCTCCTGAGCCTCCATCCCTGTAGTTATTTCCCCAGCGATTCTGGTTGTAGCCTCCACGGTTGTATCCTAATGAATTAGTTGAGTGATTATCAACAACTTGTAGGCAGAATCTAACCACCAACGTAGAACAAGAAATATGGAATAGATGTACAAGCTGATCATTAATTGCAAAATAAACCCAGACAGGGTGATCAAAATAACCTAACACACTGAAGGGGTTTTCTTTGCTGGCTGACAAACCCCTGACTGTACATGATCCCGATTATTACACGGCAACTCACCATATACAAATATGTGGACATGAAATATTGAGTTGGAATTACTTTATAATTTAACCTGAATATTGTCTTAAAGCTCTCACAAAAAAACAAACAAACAATAGACCATTATAATTTTTAAAATAAATCGGCCTATACAAACACTGCAACAATACTGCAGTTATATTAATACCAAATACTCTGAGATAATTTTCTGTACAATCCATAACTGATATGCAAAATGGTGACAGTTGTGTTTGTATGAAATGAGAAAGCAAGTCCACAATGTGCCATGAAAGTAGGGCTTTTTTACCCCCCAGCATTCATTTGAAATAAATAGCCTATTTATTTTTTATAAATTAATTTATTTATCTTTTAACATTATAAATGTCTTTACTGTCACTTTTTAATGTGTCTTAGCTAAATAAATAAATCGCTAAATATATTAACATACTACACTGTATTCTTTCCCTGCTCATTTTTTTTTTTACATTTAAGCAAAACAAAACAAATTATAATTCAGCAACATGTTCAGGACAAAGAAATAAGGACTGGAAAAACAAGTCTTCAGGAGAACAATAGGCTAACAAATGCTACAGAGAGAGCAGAAGTGCATTAATGAACATGTGCATCAGTGAGCAGAAGTGGATGTGTTTTTTTTGGGGGGAGGGTTGAGAAGGAAGGGGAAGGGCTTTAGCTGTGAGGACAGCGCAGAGGAAGGCAAGTATGGCAGTACCTGATCCAGGATGTAGTTGCGTTTCTTGCGGGCAGCAATCTGGATGAGCCTGTTGAGACACTGCGTGGCCTGCTGAATAAGGATGTCCCAGCGTCCGGCATAGTTGCGCTGACGACGAAGTCCCATGACCTGATTGAAACGGAATGATGAACTTTAGTGTACAGACTTTGATTGGAATAATTACATGTTTTCAAATTGACTCACTGGCGTGTGGCCTGAACAATCAAGGTCTTGAGGATTATTAGAAAATTACAGACAGGTGTGTTTGATTAGGTAGAAGTTCAAATTTTGAAGGACGGTAGACATCAAGGGCCAGAGTTGCCCACGCCTTGCCAAAAATGTCTGTCTGAACGTTTATGGCTGTAGCGGTGGTTCTTTAAAGACTACCAAACTTTCCTAGTGGGTTTTACTATGCACAGCTGCCATAACAACAGGGATTATGTCCAGGGGCCATACCTTCATTTTCTCCATGATAGCATTTGTGCCCAGGATGTTGTACTTCTTGTCAGGGTTCTCTTTAGCATGTTTTATGGCCCAGGTGGTTTTTCCACTACCAGGTAGACCAACCATCATCAGGATCTGAGAAGAAAACATGGAGTCAACATTTCACATACTAGCAGGCTTGATGCGATAGTCGGTGTTGACGGTGTTAAGCCTTAAAGGGTTAGTTCACCCAAAAATGAAACTTCTGTCATTAATTACTCACCCTCATGTCGTTCCACACCCCTAAGACCTTTGTTTATCTTCAGAACACAAATTAAGATATTTTTGATAAAATCCGATGGCTCAGAGAGCCATCAGACAGCAACGCCACCCAAACTCTCAAGATCCATAAAGGTATTAAAGACGTCGTTAAAACAGTCGATGTGATTACAGTGGTTCTACAGTAATTTTATGAAGCGACGAGAATACTTTTTGTGCGCAAAAACAAAAACTTTATTCAACAACCTCTGCTTCCAGGTTCTACGTCAGAACGCCGGCCCATTATTACGAAGTCCCATGACCTGATTGAAACGGAACGATGAACTTTAGTGTACAGACTTTGATTGGAATAATTACATGTTTTCAAATCGACTCACTGGCGTGTGGCCTGAACAATCAAGGTCTTGAGGATTATTAGAAAATTACAGACAGGTGTGTTTGATTAGGTAGAAGTTCAAATTTTGAAGGACGGTAGACATCAAGGGCCAGAGTTGCCCACGCCTTGCCAAAAATGTCTGTCTGAACGTTTATGGCTGTAGCGGTGGTTCTTTAAAGACTACCAAACTTTCCTAGTGGGTTTTACTATGCACAGCTGCCATAACAACAGGGATTATGTCCAGGGGCCATACCTTCATTTTCTCCATGATAGCATTTGTGCCCAGGATGTTGTACTTCTTGTCAGGGTTCTCTTTAGCATGTTTTATGGCCCAGGTGGTTTTTCCACTACCAGGTAGACCAACCATCATCAGGATCTGAGAAGAAAACATGGAGTCAACATTTCACATACTAGCAGGCTTGATGCGATAGTCGGTGTTGACGGTGTTAAGCCTTAAAGGGTTAGTTCACCCAAAAATGAAACTTCTGTCATTAATTACTCACCCTCATGTCGTTCCACACCCCTAAGACCTTTGTTTATCTTCAGAACACAAATTAAGATATTTCTGATCAAATCCGATGGCTCAGAGAGGCCTCCATTGACAGCAATGCCACCCAAACTCTCAAGATCCATAAAGGTATTAAAGACGTCGTTAAAACAGTCGATGTGATTACAGTGGTTCTACAGTAATTTTATGAAGCGACGAGAATACTTTTTGTGCGCAAAAACAAAAACTTTATTCAACAACCTCTGCTTCCAGGTTCTACGTCAGAACGCCGGCTCATTATTGGACGGCTCCTGCATCAGCTTCACACGCATGCGTCACGCTCCTCACATGTGCAGCTTTGGCCAATAATGAGCCGGCGGTCGGACGTAGAACACGGAAGCCTTCACTGTGCTTACGGCGTTAACCTCGTAAGGATAATGACAGGGAACAGAAGAGATTGCTGAATAAAGTTATTTTTGTTTTGTTTTTGCGCACAAAAAGTATTTTCGTCGCTTCATAAAATTACTGTAGAACCACTGTAGTCACGTCGACTTTTTTTAACGTCTTTAATACCTTTATGGATCTTGAGAGTTTGGGTGGCATTGCTGTCAATGGAGGCCTCTCTGAGCCATCGGATTTGATCAGAAATATCTTAATTTGTGTTCTGAAGATGAACGAAGGTCTTAGGGATGTGGAACGACATGAGGGTGAGTAATTAATGACAGAATTTTCATTTTTGGGTGAACTAACCCTTTAACACCGGTTATGTCACTTGCCCACCGCCGTTTAGATTTTTTTATAACAAAAAAAATAATTTAGTTCAGTTAGAGAACAGACACTACAATTAAAGATTAAGATTTAGTTTCGAAACTAAATGCAAAAGCGACCGTTTGGCAATATTTTGGATTTTGAAAAAGATGTTGACTTTTGTCATTTATCTAAGTTGATTTTGTAAGTTGTTTTTTTTTCTTTTTTAAACATTCATTTCTTATTTTTTTGGTTCCAGTGTTTGCTGATTTTTACTGTATTTAAACTATGTGTAATTAATTTATTTTATATCAAGGTGTATGCTGTGCTAATTCGAAAGTGAAAGTAAAATGTGCACGGAAATTTATAAGCTATTTAAAAGCGAAGGAAAATGAGGAAAACAGGCAAAATGCCAACAAACCCCACCCCCCGGTATTACTGGTGTTGTCACACGTCGATTAACCGGTGAGAAATTTCCTCACCATCACAACCCTACATACTAGGTATCACCAATATCTTCTGTCCACTGATCATGTACAAATCTTTTTACGTCTTTTTAAATGTAAACATTTGATTTACTGTTACGTATTACACATGCTATAATTACATAGCTGGTTAATACAGATGAGGTCTTGTTGACAAGAATTAATTGTCCAGCCTATCTTCAGTCTTTTGGCACATTGCAATAAGTAGGCAATTTCAAAGGGGTCCTATTATGCTCTTTTACAAAGTCTTGATTTTGTTTTGGGGGTGTACTAGAACAGGCTCTCATACCTAGGTTGTTCGAAAAACACATTATTTTTCATATATTTTACATTATTACAACACCTCTCTCCCCAGTCTGGCATGAACGGCTCAAATAGTTCCTGTATCAAATGAAGGCCCGCCTTCTGAAATACGAAATGTGCTGTGATTGGTTAGCTGGGCCAGTGTGTGTTGTGATTGGCACCACTCGGCGCCTGGTCGGGAAATATCACGCCCCTTACCATAGCCGCCTGCGAGCTTCAGTGTAAATATTGCATCAAAATCAAATCAATTTGAGCGCGATTTAAACCCGGATGATTGTAACCACTCTAAGTTTGTCTGCCTTGGGAAAGCTAGCGCGTCTCCGACATCGTGATAACACTCATTGCCTTCTCTAGTGCAGTTCAACCAGGTCTCGTATTTGTGATATCATAAATCCCGGAAAATATGCGTTGTAGTCCAAACGAGTCGTTCGTTATAGTTTTTGTGATTTCTGTTAAATAAAATATCTCCTTTTGACTTGGACTTTGAGCTTTGTAACTTTGCAGATCTTTTTTATGCTCAAACAGCAACATTACAGACTAACTAAAGTTGAAAAAGCATAATAGGACCCCTTTAAAGACATCAAATAATGGCATCACTTTCCAACAAATGTTTATAAATTATTACTCTCCATGGAATTACATTATAGATGCATAAAATTCAGCCACAGCTGAAAATTCAAAAACACAATTCTTTTTCATTATAAAATCCTTGTTGATGAGACTGCAATACATCAAACCTCGCATTCAGCTTTAGTGGCCGGTCCCAGTGTCCCCCTGACTCTGTCCTCTAGATGAATATCATGAATGAAGGTGAAGCCCTCCGGCTGAGGGAAAAAGGCCTCCTCTCTCTGTCCAAAGTTGAATTCCACAGCACAGTTCTTCACCAACACGTGTGGGAAAAGAGCACGCCCGGCCAGTTCCTCTCGAGAGACACGGAAACATGGGCCCAAACACTTGCCATTCTTGGAGAACGCCATTTCTACTTCTTCACTGCTCTCAAAGTCCTATGGAAAACAATCCGAGTGGGAAAAAAAGAGATATGGTTAAAAATACAGTCTCTGAGCCCATATTAAGATGCATTGTGTGTAATCTAATCTAGAAGTATGAGAGAAAAATATAATTACAATACAGCAGCCGATGATATCATTTTCACTGAACTTTTCCCCATAGTCCTCAAATTTACAGTTGGAGGATTTCTTGCCAGTTCCTCCATAGCCGAAAGAGAAGGGTTCTTCACCTGTAATACGAAGGAACAAGCTCTTAAACTACAATGTTAATGCAGCATAGAACACAAACCTTGATTAATCTTACTAAAGAAAAATGCATCAGGTGTCAAAAATACTTTGAAGCAGGGTTATGGTAAGTCTGGTCATTTACCAAGTTGAGTGTTGCAGGAATCCAGTGACCATCCGATTCTCACCACATGAGGGTCAGGCTCAGTGGTAGGAAGGTGCTTTACTGAAATTTCCTCATTTATCTAAATAAGGAACAGGACAATAAAGATCTTTGTGACCCATCTCATGCAATCAAACATGGCATCAAACACTAAATAGCATCTTTGTTACCTTCATTTCAAAGCACACACGTCCTTTGGTAACACCATAAGTGGCTCGAGCACCTGCCCACAGCAAGGCAAAACCCTCAATGGTCAGAGGGTATCCGCTGTATCTGTCACGAGCCACCTTGAAGTGCAGGTCACAGTTATCTAGAGACAAACAAACAAGAAGCAATTCTGTAATGTACTATTCTGTAATGTGAATAAAACGGTGAATAATTAGATACATTTACATCATAGACATCCATTATCTCGAATATGTTCATTCTGCTCTCTGTCTGTTTTGTTCAGTGTTTCTTTGTGTGGACACAGACACTGTGAACATGCTGTGTGGTATCGGAGAATTTAATGAGAATGAGTATAAGTACATGGTGCATCCCTAATGAAAATACAGCACTCTAAATTGGGGTGCAATGGAACTATTTTGGTACGGGGCTTTCGGTTCGGCACATAAGTGTAACCACTGCACGTGTGGAACTTCTGTGTGAAGAACGCAATTTGACTTCCCACCTAGGATGGGACAATACAGTTTTTCCCACAGGATTTTGTGAGGAGACTTGTTGCGGCAGGTGACGTGTTAGAATATTTATGACATCATTGCATCGTGTTTGCATTCAGACAAGTTTTGGCACTTCAGATCTGTTCTACTCTCTGAACCGTCACATACTGTAATACAACTGAATAGCTGTTCCCATTTACATATTTTGTTTCTGTTGTCATACATAAAAGAAGTAAAAATAGTGACTAAACACGACCCATTAATACTACATTAACCAGGCTATACTCATCTCTCCTTAATTATACTCACAGGTGTCAATGACCACAAGTTTTTCATCAATGTCTTCCTCTTCTTCTTCAGCTGGGGGCTGTGGTGACCTTCCCCTAAAACAACCAAAGAGAACTATGAGATTGATCAATACAAAAAACAAAGTAAACCCAAGGAGACCTAACTTACCTCCTTTCCTCACGATGTTCATAGTAACCATATCCTCGACTATCATCATATGACCTCTTGCGGCTGTACGATGAGCATCTATCATCCTCTGATTTGGCCTGTGTGTCCCAGTCACTGACCTGCTCAGCCTGCTCTGGAACATCCTCATTGGCCTTATTCTCAGTCTTCACCTCATAACTCTCTGAAAACATTTGGATAAATATATGTTAAGCTACATGACATTTTATAAATACATCTAATGTAGCGTTAAACTTGCACATATTGCTTTTGATCGATAATACGAATTCTACTACTAATAACAATATAAAACGCACTAAGGATTAATGAGCTGCTGGGTTCATGAATATTAATCATGTTATCTGCATGCGCTCGAACTGATTTGCTAAAAATCAAAACAGGGAAGATAATAGGCGAGCACCAGCCAATGAGATTGCCGTTTGCGCATTTTTTCCGCCCACTACTGGAGAAACCGGCATTATCTTATGGCTGTTCTTAAACACTGAAGAATTCCAAATGAACTTATTTTGACAAGAAAATACAACAAAGCATATCGTTTACATGTAGCGCGCCAATTCTGCATGGTATGTAAGACTCTCTCGCTCGCTCTTATTTTGCGTGTGTGTGAGAAACAGTGCTCTCAGCAAAGCGACAGTGAGTCGTGTGCCTTCACACTTGAGTTTATGGTACAGCAAATACAGTTACGCTGCGCATCCATTGAGCTGAATTGAAAAATAGCACAGATCTCTTGATGGAGAGCGAAACTCTGAAGCGCTCAGTCAGAGTGTTAAGCAAGTGAAAATATATCTGTGCTAAACTTATACTTGGCCTCCAACTCACACACTGGCGAGTAAAATCTAAGAATTTATTAGCCAATGGCTAATGTTAGACATCATTTAGTCACCCAGAGTGAAGATTTAGTCGCATATGCGAATTATTTACTTGCATTGTAGAGGGTTGTCACCCTTTGTGGTTTATACACTAGAGCAGACTTACCAGATTCTTCCTGCTGGCTGCTTTGACTTGAGTCTCCCTCTGGGATCTGCCGTGATGCTGGCTCGTCAAACTTCTGCTCCCCCTGTGGCTCCGCACGTGAAGGAGTCTCCTCATACTCCTCCTTCACCTCATCCTGCTTATAGTGCTGCCTGGCTGGTTCCTCATGGTACGGCTGCTTGGCCCCAGGCTCCTGGTATTCATCCTGGTCATAGGAGTAATGCTCCTTCATCTTTCCTGACATCGTGTCTGATGAATAATCACTTGTTCCAAAACCAGGGATGGGGGTCTCGGTGCTATCCTCATTGCCTTCGTTACTCTCGGTTCCCTGATCATCAGATCCACCCTGGTAGAGGTCTGTGCTGTTTCCATCATCAAACTGTGCCTTGGCCTCTTCTCCATAATCTTGCTTCCTGGCTGCAAATTCTGTGTAGAAATTAAGCAGAGTAAACATATTTTGTTGCATTAATGTCTAGAACCAATTTCCATGACTCTTCCAGTCATTTTTGATTACTCAAATACAATTTTCTAATCATATCATATATTATTTTATACAAATTTGTACATATTATGTAAAAAAAAAAAAAGCAATTCCAAAACTACTATTTTATTTTTTAAACATTCATGGCTTATTCATGATATATTTTAATTTCTAATTCACAAGCAGTTTATTTTCTTTGTCTTTCTTTTTTTTTTTAAGTAAAACTTTTTTCCCATGCCAGGAAATCACAAATCTTTTTTTTGCATTAATGTCAATGCTGCAATGGTTACACTTTATTTTAGAATCAGAAGAGCTTTATTACCAAGTATGTTTACACACACACACACACAAGGAATTTGACTTGACGACAGGAGCTTCCAGTGCATAAGAAAGTACAGACATAGTGCAGACATACATAGGAATAACACAGTAGGGATGGAATATAACACTAATATAAGAAAAAACAGAATTAAATAATGTACAATATACATAATAGAAGTATAGGAAAAACATTGTAGTTGTTTAAATAAATGTACAGGTATAAATGTAAAGATTTAGGCTATGCTTATTACAGTGTAATTGCACAAATAATTACTGACATATTAACTAACAACTTATATATATAAATGTAAGATTTGGAATTATTGTTAATTGCTACAGTTATTACTATAGTTAGTACACGTATAAAAATACTCTTGTGGAATTTCCACAATATATCCATGACTTATAAGATTCTATTAATTTCTTACTGATTTTTTTCATGCCACCAGATTTTTCCAGTTGTAAAATGACACAATTTGGAGTTTTCCTCGACAATGGAAGCACTTATTAGATCATGCCCCTTCTTGTATTTCCCAGATGGATGTCCTACATCAAAAGGGGTCCCCCTTTGGTGGTCTGACACGTTGCCAGGCGACCCTAATAAATAATCTCTCCTAATCTCTGTGAAGCACATCCCCATTCGCAACAACACAGCCTGCATTACAGCTTCATAATTTAACCAAGTCAAAACACATACGTGAAAACACACTTTACCTTCCTCCTGATAATCACTGCCCTCTCCCGGCTCCCCGCCAGCCTCATAGTCTTGTTCCTGCTCGTCCGATGGCGCAGACCCAGCCGCCTCGGCCTTCAGTGCCGCCTGCAATCTGTCCGCCAGATCCGCCTTCAGCCCGCGAGTGTCCAGGCCTCGCCGCTGGAGCTCTTCTTTCAGCTCATTGACTTTGAGCTTTTTGACATTAAGCCCGCTCATGATGCATGCACCCCTACAGCAGTTTATTCCAAACTGTGCGCCTGTAACGTTACAGTCAGAGTAAACACACGGGAGTCATTGATTGGTTACTGTACGCGCTCGGCGGATCATCTCCACACTCGCTAAAACATTAGCCTGCAAGCTAACTGGCTGACTGAGGCAAAGGTCTTTGTAGCTAAAAGACACTTTCACTTCATTTGGAAGGGTATTTCGGCTTTAGTACACGAACTACAACAACATGCATAGACCAAAATCCATTCGTTTACGGGTCAAAACAATCTATTGGCGTGTTTCGTTGTATCCACAGTTAGCATTCCAGCGAACTATGGAGTCAAGTAACGTTATTTTGCGCGCAAAATCCACCCGCCTCACATGCATACTCTAAAATAATCAAATATCAGTTTAAATCACTAACTGAACATACATACTACCTCGTGTGCTCAGAAAACAAAATATGTACCTTTATCTGTCAGTTTCCCCCTCAAGCGAATAGTCTTTACGATGGTTTCGAAGATGGAGGGTGACCGTGGCTGCCTACTTCCTCCGCGCGGCTCTGGTCTGCGCGCTCTCGGTGCCTGCAGCTGATTGGCTGACGCTGCTGTCTGTCTACGACGCTGGAGCCAATAATAGTCGTCATACGCAGCCTTTTTAACGTTCATATAAAAACAACGTAAACGTGTCAAATACAGCAACTTAAATATAGTTTAAAGTATACAGGTAATTGATTTCTAGTTAGAAAAGGAATATTGGTTAAAGTTTGTTTGACCTAAATAAAAAGTTGAATTAAATACATTTAGTTTTGTCCAAGTTAAAATAACCATGCAACACTTCCCTCCCTAATAAGCAAAACTATTAATAATTAGTATTATTGAATTTTTCGATAACACAGTAGTCAATTATAAACTGGGATAAGTGCTAATATTAATGCGCTAGATTTTTTTTCAAAACATTTTTGTCAGATATATATATTTTTTTTTTATTAATTATTACGAATTAATTTACGAATTAAATATTACTTGTATTTAATGTATATTACTTAGTAATTTACGTTTTATAAGTTTTATCAGTATGTATTTATTCATTTGCAAGGGGGGGAAACAGTCGAGACACTGAAAGATCAATGCATCAAGATCAGTGTCTGTCTTGAGTGTTTGTGCAACATTTGTGAAATACCTGATCAGTTTACAACCAAAGGAATCTGTCCGTTCGGTGATTTCGATCACTTGCGATCGATTAATCTTGTCTTGCAATCGGTTATCGGCAGAGCTTGACTTCTGCCTTGTTTACAACAGCCATTGATGTTGAATAAGGAAGTACAGAGCTCACGGCATCTCCTGTGTAATTGTTACAATGGAGAGAGATACTGCTGCAATCACTTTAATTAAAGCTCTTGGGTGAGTAACGCTGAAATAAACAGCCATTTTAAAACTTTGTTTTGTTTTCAAGATAATTGCACTCACGGCTGTTTTAATATTTCATAGGTATAAAAGCAGAGAGTGCTTGAAGGAATGTAAATGTGATGAGTTACCTTGCCCGCTGCTCACCTGGCTGATCTCAGAACTAAGAGCAGGTTGTCCTGATATTCCAGGTAACCCAACCGAGACCTATTTCACACTTCTATATTCACTAACGAATTTCCAGCGCTTTTTAGTCGTTTGTGATGAGTAAATAAGGCATTTCAATGTATCATATTTAAAATATGATCAATTATTTTACTAAATAGACTTTTAAATCGAATTATTTATATTTAGCTTTGATTCTAGGCCTGGGATACAAAAACAAGCCTGCCTATAAAACATCATTTTGCACAACTTTAGTTGAACCATCTTTTTGTATTATTATCATGGATAAAATGTAACTGTGCTTCAGCACGGCATGTTGGTGGTGCAGTTCTGGTCGGGGAGTTGAGGGAAGTGCTGAAGGAGATGTCCTGTCCTCAAAATGCACTTACATCAGAGCACCTTAGCCCACTTCTGTTGTTCAGAGTGACCGGTAAGGTAGGGAGGTGGTAGATAATGTCAGTCAGTGCATTTTTAGGATTTTCTGTGAAGTGTTACTGTACATATTTTCACTCAATTTACAGAGTATTTGGTGTCAGAGTTGGCGGCGACACGCGTGCTGATGTACAGAGAGAGTCATCCAGAAGATACAGAAGAGAGTTCTGAGTCAAAGGGCAAAGAGCAGAGAAAATGGGAAAGTCTTAATATGGCCAATAAAGATGAGCAACAGGAAATCAGTCCAGCACGAGAGGATAAAACTAATTTGAAAGAAGTAAATAAAGATCTAGCAGAACTCTTTCAGACTCTTGGCTTAGAAACATCCTCTCAGATAAGTGATGCCTGTGCAGAGGTAAGAAACATCACCAGTGAAGGACTAGTAATTATTAGTAATTTAACATTTGTATTTTTATTTGTTTGGTTATGTCTAACATATGCGTCATTTGTTCAGGTGGAGTCACGGCTGACATCACTTCCAGAAGGTGAAGTGCCAGAAGCATTATTGAAGTCCAGTCTGAACTCTGAGCAATGGGTATGTATTAAAGTGAAATGGTATGTGCACATCCGGGAAAAAAAACAAAACTTTAGAGCAGGAGCATGACCAAAAATTGTCGATTTATATTGATTCATTATTTTTATTTATAATTGCTGTATTGTTTGTTGTTTATGCCTACTCGGGTGTATTTATGTAAAGGAATTGTTCACCCAAAAGTGAAAAATGGCTAAAAATGTACTCGCACTCAAGATGTAGATGAGTTTGTTTTTTCATCGGAACAGATTTGGAGAAATTTAGCATTACATCACTTGCTCACCAGTGGATCCTCTGCAGTGAATGGGTGCCGTCAGAATGAGAGTCCAAACAGCTGATAAAAACATCACAATAATCCACAAGTAAACCACACGACTCCAATCCTTCAGTTAATGTCTTGTGAAGTGAAAAGAAACAAGTCCCTCATTAAGGCGTTTTAACTTTGAACCTTTGCATCTGGTCCATACCAGTCCATAGTCCATAATGATTCTTCCTCTGCTAAAAATGTACTCGCACTCAAGATGTAGATGAGTTTGTTTTTTCATCGGAACAGATTTGGAGAAATTTAGCATTACATCACTTGCTCACCAGTGGATCCTCTGCAGTGAATGGGTGCCGTCAGAATGAGAGTCCAAACAGCTGATAAAAACATCACAGTAAACCACACGACTACAATCCTTCAGTTAATGTCTTGTGAAGTGAAAAGAAACACGTCCCTCATTAAGGCGTTTTAACTTTGAACCTTTGCATCTGGTCCATACCAGTCCATAGTCCATAATGATTCTTCCTCTAATGAAAAAGTGCATCCCCTGTTGTCCTCTCACATCAAAATCCACAGACATATAATGTTTAGAACTGTTTTCACTTGTAAATGGTGCTATCTCTTCTGATTCAGGCAAGATGGCTTTTTTACTCGATTTTAGTCATAAGCAATGGATTGACGTTAAAAACATCATATTGATAGTTTGTTTATTACAAAAACACAGCTTTTCGGATCACACAACATGAATTGATGGACTGGAGTTGTGTGGATTACTGTGATGTTTTTATCAGCTGTTTGGACTCTCATTCTGACGGCACCCATTCACTGCAGAGGATCCATTGGTGAGCAAGTGATGCAATGCTAAATTTCTCCAAATCTGTTCTGATGACAACTCATCTACATTTTGAATGGCCTGAAGGGGATTACTTTTTCAGAAAATTATAATTTTTGGGTGAACTATTCTTCTAAATATTTTAAAGATGTGATTTTTTTGACTGCCTGACAAACACATAAGGGCCAAAACATTGTTTGTCTAGTATTTAAATAGTAGAACTGTGTCAGTGTGCTGTCCTTTTGTTTTTTTCATGTATTATAGAGTCACACTGACCTTTTATATTCTATTCCAGGACAAATATTTTCACAGTTGTTTTTTTTTCACTCTTAGAAAAAGATTAATGAAATCAACAGAGCTCTCTGTAAGGATTATGAATGTCGGCGCCAAATGATGATCAAGCGTTTCCATGTCACACTACAATCCTTTACTTGGGGAGAGAGGGCAAAGGTACTAAGATTGTCTCTTTTGCAAACCTTCAAGCATGTATTTTGTAATAGGTTTCACTGAGCAAATTCTCTCTATTTTCTTTCAAGGAACGCAGTGCTTTGCTTTCTTCCATGTCACCCTGTACACCTTCTCTTGAGTCCTCCGTCTCCATTGCTAAGCTGTTGGCTATAAGGGAGGACGAGTCTCGCATTAGGCCAGTTAAAGCAGGGCCTTCAACAGCAGTTCACAAGGTGCCGTTCTTCAAAGTTCTGCTTCTAATAATAAATTGTGTGGCAATTTGCATAAGATTTAATAAGGATTTATACACAACATTTGTTTCTGCAGGTACTGATGGGCAGCGTGCCGGACAGAGGGGGACGTCCAGGAGAGATCGAGCCACCGATGCCCAGCTTCACCAGACGCAGTGAGGGAGGAGGTGGTCATCATTATAAAAGGAAAAGACAAGAATATTCAGGAAAGAAGAATAAAAACAAACAGAATTAGAAGGGTTTTTAGTGCTAGTTTCGTAACTAACACAACACAACAAAAGAGATTTATGTTAAAAGGAGGCCATATTTCCCATTAAAATGAGACATAAATGATCATGGACTATTTAAAAAAAAAAATTTAATTCTTATTTAATGTTGCAAATTACTTAATGCACTATTTCATTTGATGAGCAAAAATGTGATAAAATCATTTCAGTGAAATGTATAAATATGAATGGCTACAAGCTGTATTTACTTTGAACAACCAAGATCTATGATGAAATTATTAAAGTCAATTATGTTTCCTTTGAAACAGTATTTTCTCTTTTAACTCTCTTCTCCTTATTACATTTCCCATTTAATGTTTTTTTTTTTTACATGTGCATTTTCAAGTAGTTGTTGACATGGCATTTCAGGCAGTGAAGGCAATGTCCTTCAGTGTGACATGCTATATTTCATTAAAAACTATTTCAACATTCTTCTTGATCTTTGTATTAATTAAAATACATGGTTTATGACCTCGTTTGAGATTTAAATGACATAGAAAATGCGTGTTGTTATGAGTTGTGGAATAGATAGTTGCAGAATGGTTTTAAAACACACACACACACATTTATGTTATAAAAAACGCACATTTATGTTATTATACATGTTACATATTTATATATAAATGTTAACCTGTAGTCTTAATGGTTATGTTAAGGTTCATGCCCATTTAAACGACCCCTTTGCGATTTTATCTCGCTATGCTAAAGTTTAAACTTAAACTGAGAACGGTAAGATGGTAACACTTGGGTAGAGTTTATATAAATCTGTATCTTATTGTTATAATATTCTTCAATACTTTGGTGTTTATTGTTAAAGAGTTGAACTCATGGACAGTAAATGGTTAACTGGAGTGTTTGGATTAAGACGCTATCTGGTAACCAAGGACGATTCCGCGTTCACACACCCTGACAACATATTAAAACGCGATGAAACACTGCACAACCGATGCATTTCATGAAATTATATTTACACTAATTTTTAGTACGGCAAAATGTATATTTTTTCCGTTGGACTGGAGTCGAGCAAACGTACACTTTAAACTTTTAGACTAAGTGATACTGGTTGGTTGTCAGTATGCTGCTAACGTAATTTTTAGGAGTGTCTTTTTTCCCCCCTTACAATATTGGATCATCCGAGATGTGTTTTTTTGAGTCGATTAAATTAATTTGATGCAATCCAAGCCATGTCTGGAATTCAGTATGCATCCAATCAAAGCATCAAGCCTTTTAAATCGAGTGAGGAATATCTCTATGCCATGAAAGAAGACCTGGCAGAATGGCTGGGAGAGTTATACAACATTGACATTGACGTGAATAATATTTTGGAGGTGTTAGAGACAGGTGCGCTGCTGTGTGCTCACGCAAATAACGTGACACGCGTGGCGGATGACTTTCTGAAGAGGACCGGACCCGCGGAGGTCCAGCTGCCCGCTTCTGGACTCACTTTCATCAGCTCTGTCCATCCAACAACATTCCTGGCTCGGGATAATGTCACCAATTTTATCAGCTGGTGTCGAAAAGAGATGAGCATTCCAGGTATAAATGACGGTTATTTGTTTAATATAGAATTATTACTCAATAGAACATACAATTAGTTTGATAGAACATCACTTATTAGCAGTTCTGACACTTACCACTAGATAGTGCTGTGAGCTCTCAATACTAGCGAAGCTTGTCCACGCTGTTCCTTCACATTCAAAGGAGTTTTTCCTCATTAAAAGTTGTATACATTAAAAAGTGAATAGTACATTTGATTAATATGTCATGTTCACTCACATGAGATTAAGACGCCAGTCATAGCAGTAGACTAATAAAAGCTTTACACGGACCCTTATGGGGACCACCATATTGAAATCACATGACCAGTCGAATACTGTTCATCTATTCATGCTATATCTTAACCAAAGACTTTAGTATAAGCCTTAAAGGGACTTTGATCTTAACTCACATTTTGCTAATATTGAATAGCGAGTTTCTGTAATGACACCAGTAGCTGAAAACTTTACTTTTGCTTTACGCTGCCAAGTCCAATACGGCTCACATAGGTCATCACAACATAAATAAAATATTACTGAGTGAGTTTTTCATTTCAAAATTTTGTTCTTATTCTGTTTTCTGTAACCATCTTAAACTCTGCCCCCATTGCAGATGTACTGATGTTCGAGACAGACGACCTTGTCCTGCGTAAGAATGAGAAGAATTTTGTGTTGTGCCTTCTTGAGGTGGCCAGACGGGCCTCTCGTTTCGGCATGGCTTCACCAGTCCTCATTCAGCTGGAGCAGGAGATAGAGGAGGAGATTCGTGAAGAGATGGAGGACTTGCCTGCTCAGTCCAAACCACAGAGGAGCTTGATAAACATCCAGAATCTGGACGAGATGGTGCTGTATCGAAGATTAAATTCACATAATGTTTACTGATGTGTTGAGGGCATTGCATTTGAATTAAGAACAAAATTAAGCAATTTTTGCATAAAATAATTTGATTCTATCAAAATTATAGATTCAAATTTGGTTTAATGCAGGGGCCAACTAGTAGTTAGACAAGGAGTAATCGGTCAACTTTGGTAAACTTTTCGGATTCAAATTAGTCTCTGTTTTGATTTTGAAAAAGTTATGACCAGTCTTAAAGGGGGAAAAAATTAGATGTAAGACTAGTCTAAGCAGTTTATGGGTCAAAGACGAAAAAGGGTTTAAGCATAAAAACAATAAGTGTAATTCTGCTTTAAATTGTTGTTGTTTTCCCCCCCAAAATAAAAAAATGTTCTGTTTAATTTAATTGAAATTTAGTTTTTGTTTTTCTGAGCAAAAAAGAAATATCATACATTTTCCCCTGATTTACAGAAGAGACCCACTAAAATGTCATTGAGTGTAACAATCTTGTCAGGCATATTTACAACAAAAATCTATTTATGACATATTAAAAGACTAATTACTTTCACAGCTTGATAAACATCCAGAATCTGGACGAGATGGTGCTGTATCGAAGATTAAATTCACATAATGTTTACTGATGTGTTGAGGGCATTGCATTTGAATTAAGAACAAAATTAAGCAATTTTTGCATAAAATAATTTGATTCTATCAAAATTATAGATTCAAATTTGGTTTAATGCAGGGGCCAACTAGTAGTTAGACAAGGAGTAATCGGTCAACTTTGGTAAACTTTTCGGATTCAAATTAGTCTCTGTTTTGATTTTGAAAAAGTTATGACCAGTCTTAAAGGGGGAAAAAATTAGATGTAAGACTAGTCTAAGCAGTTTATGGGTCAAAGACGAAAAAGGGTTTAAGCATAAAAACAATAAGTGTAATACTGCTTTAAATTGTTGTTGTTTTCCCCCCCAAAATAAAAAAAATGTTCTGTTTAATTTAATTGAAATTTAGTTTTAGTTTTTCCGAGCAAAAAAGAAATATCATACATTTTCCCCTGATTTACAGAAGAGACCCACTAAAATGTCATTCAGTGTAACAATCTTGTCAGGCATATTTACAACAAAAATCTATTTATGACATATTAAAAGACTAATTACTTTCACTCCAAATACTAATTAGTTGTAATTTTAAATTTTTTTAATTTGCCACTATCCTAGGTTTTGCCCATTTGTCAGTAAGAATTTTTTACTAATTTAAAACACAATAAAAATTGAATATGCTCCCTAATTCTTTTATATATTTTAATATGTACACGTCAGAATAAGCATGTTGTTTGAATTTTTACATAAGTATTGTGTTACACTGAATGACAATGTAACATTATTTCAACCAAATTTTGACATTTTATTCTCCAAAAAGTAATTTGAAACCTTGAAAGTAGACACTTTACTTACATTTAATGTGCTTTCTATGGACATAAAATCACTTTTGTACATTTATTTTGATGCGGACATCTTAACGTCTTTGACCCTTATGCATTTGGATCAAATAATCCCTTTAGGTGAATCTCACAAAACATGTCAAGAACATATTTCACATCACAGCCTAAATTTTAAAAGAACAAAAACTGCATAACGAAAATAAAACCTACATTTGTATCATAAAGATTTTGCATTGTAACATGTTTGACAACAATTGAGAACATCCCCCCTCCTATTTTCAGTAATATAATGTATATAATATAATATAATTAATATAATATAATAATAAATAAATATTTAAATGATAAACTATTAATCTATCATGGTTGTTTGATATATCATTGTATTTTTTTTTTACATTGTGTCCAGAATGACATGATGATTTTCATGACTGTATTTACAGTAATACAGTCATGAGAATGAGAATAAGATTTAGTGTAAGAGAATAGGATTTTTTTGCAGTACAGTAATATGCATTTAAGTTAAGTAAAGAAAAAATAATGTTTGGTATTCAAAATCTAATTTTGTTTTTCACTCCAGAAGTCTAACGAACAGTTTCTCAGTCACAGTCGCTGTTTGTTGTTAGTAATTAGTCATTAAGCAGATACTTTAATCCAAAGCGACTTGCCTGTAAGTACACTTATTACAGGCACAAGCCATCTGTAATTGCTTTGCTCAAGGGCACAATGACGGCAGCTCATCGCTTGCTCCTTCCAGTGACTGAAACACTACACCCCCTATAACACAAAACCCACTGTTATTCAGCGGATATGGCATGCAAGAGGATGCCTTGGAAACAAGGATACCCTAAAGGGTCAAAGCTGAACATCCATCTATACATATAAGATTCATGCCTCTTTATACCATTTCAAATGATCTGCAGGGATAGGAAAAAGGAGGGGAACTTTGAATTAGACTGCCATTTTGATTTGTGGCTCTCCTCACTGATTTATGGAGGCTCTCAAAGTGGCAGGTTACATCTGCTTAGAATACTCTGTCAGGGGTGTGTGGGTCATGCCAATAACGTTTCTGAGTTTGTGTGTGTGCAGGTCCAGCTTCTGATAAGCCGATGCACTTGCCCATCCCAGTTCCCCATGGTGAAGGTATCAGAGGGCAAATACAGGGTTGGAGTCTCCAACACTCTCATATTTGTGCGGGTACTGTATATAAAACCTCTTTCTGTCAAGTGATCATTTTAAGCGCTACTATTGTTCCAGCATAGACAAGCAAAATTATGTGTTGATCCATCATAGTCAATAAAAAAATATTTTACTATCTCAGAAGCTTTGTTGAAAAGAAATGGAAGAGTATTTGTTTTGTGGAAATGATAACAAGAGATAAATGGCTCAAACCAACTGCAGATGACATTTGCTCATAAAGGTGTGTGTGTGTGTGTGTGTGTAGATTTTGAGGAATCATGTTATGGTGCGAGTGGGTGGAGGATGGGACACCCTGGAGCATTATCTCGACAAACATGATCCCTGCCGGTGCACTTCTCTTAG